CCTTCGAGAATATCATGACGTGTTACCAGAGTCACGTGACTACCGCTGTTGTAACAATATTATGGGAGATGTTTTGACAAATTCAATGAAAATTGGTCCACAAAAGTGTGAAACAAATATTTGTTTAAATTTTGTTTTGCTTCTAAATTAAAAGCCAAAATAAATGTGTGCCTTGATCTTTTGTATATTACAATCAGCAATGGGCTTATATCTCGCTTATCAACAAATTTGTCACACTTGCCAGTAAAGATTCTACTTGGGAATCTCCAAACATAGCAGTTTTATATTTGTCTTAGTTTGCATGGAGTACTAGTGTTTTTTCTGTGGTGGTTACTTGCTTGTACAACGATGTCATTGTATATGCACTAAAAGTATCTGTAAAGGTACAAATCAAGAGTACTTATTTAGACTTTTCTGTATGTGAATAATACATGTTCTAATTAGTTTGTATTACTCTCATCAGCCAGCTTTTTACATTTGCTAGTGGGTTTATAATACACATATAACCAAAACTGTTACACTTACTATTGGGCTTTTATTATATTTATGAGGTGAGTCCACTTATTACAGAGTTGTGTGTTTTACAATGCTCTTACCAGTGAATTTATGACATTTTCTCATGGGCTTACCTGTGTGTCACACTTGTCATCCAATTTATTACCTTTGTTTTCAGTAAACTGATTGCACTTGCTAGTGGAATTTTGGTTATTTAAGTTTTAAAAAGCATATTACTATCCTTTAGTTTGGTTGGTATAGCACTCTTCTGTCATCTGAGAGGTATTGGTTTCCATCCTGTTCACCAGAAATTCAGAATTGAGATTACCACAGGCTTAAGTTGCACTTGTCAGAGTTTACTGAACTTGCTATTAAACTAATTACAGTTGATACTAGGACTTAGAAAAATAAATTATCTGGCAGGCCCAATCAGGAGTTTATATCACCTCAACCCCAATGTTAGGAAACTTGAAATACTTTTCTTAGGAAGAACAGCAGTCTGATAGACAACTTGTCCAACTAATGCAAGATACCCGACACTATACTTAGAATTAAAAAACATTCAATGTTAAATTAGTATTATATTTTTTTTACTTACTGTTATACTCGTAACATGGACAGGTACTTTACTAAGTGAATGATATCAATAAGTGAATAATTTAATTATTTCATCAAGGAAATATGTAATTTTTCTTGCCTGTAAGGCAACTTGCCAAGTTATACCAGACAACTTTTGTGATCTGCATAAGTTATTAGATACTGTATCTTTAAAATGAGTAGACTTGTTTACTTGGCGGGTATCCATTGTCTGACTGAATAAAGAGATAATCTAACTTTAAGTTAATTATTTAAAATCTCATCATTTTGCTACCTGATGATTTGTCAGTTGTCTATTTCACATTTTCATAAACAGAACTCACTACCTACACAAGTGAGAAAAACCATACTTCTTGGGTAAAATGAACTGAAACCCTAGTGTTCACATCTAAGTTATGTCTCTGGGTTTAATACATTTGTTATATGGTTCATTACAAATGCTAATGGATTTTTAAGTCCTTTTATTTTCTATTATGATTTCAGTATAGAGGTATCTTTAAGTGCATATAGAAAGAAGAAGAGACCTTCTGTTTATGTTCTAAACAGAAAGACTATATTAGAACAGAAAAATTCAGATTTGATATTGATTTAAAACACTGTTTATTTGTTTCATAGTAACATTTGATCATCAAGAAAAAAAGATATGTTTTGTCATTCTGTAAAGATCTGACACTTAGTTAATGCTACCCAATCAATTAACTTTTTATACCTAGAATGTGGTAGTTTATTTACATGCATTTCGATGCAGTTTAGAACCTATATTTCAGAAATCTGTCTTATCATTAGAATATGATTATCTAGGATGCTGTGTGATATACTAATTTTCAAACTACATTTCAGAAAGTTTTTTTTTAAAAGATATAATCTAATGTTATAATTTAGAATACATAATTCAAAAACTTGGTCCTGTTTTTGCAAAGACTGTAGCAAATCATTGTAACATTACGGGCTATATATTTCAATGAGGTAAGGATTAATCCCATTAGTGTAAATACTAATTTTTGCCATATTTGATTTGATACTTTTAATTGTAATTACTTCATTTTCTGGTTTGATACACTGATATAATATGTTTTGTTTATTTATCAGAATGTGCTGTTTGTAGCTATATAGCTTGTGATAATTAATGTCTTCTAAAGATTATGGTACTAGTGATAAAGTATGTAACATATTTTATTGATGGATTTTATTTTCTTTCAGTTTATTCGACTGATGTGTCTCGCAGTAATTCCTTAAAAGATGTTTTGCTTGTAATCACATGGGGCATATTTAAAATTCTGAAACGATATGTTTGGTATGGCTTCATTCTGGGCTTGTGGCTAGGTGTTTTACCACTTATTACAGGTAAATTTACCAAACTGTTCACTGTTGATAAGGTTTAAGAAGTGAACACGTTCTCCAAAATAAAGAATGATTTCTTTTACTATGGTTTAAAACTTTAATATATATATATATATATATATATAAAAGAAAATTGAATTGCTAGTGTTATTATATACATTATGTTTGAATTAATTCATCTATTCAGATAACATAAGTTTATGGAAAATTACCCCATGGTATACATATATATATTATTCTTTCAGTAATGTATGTGCTGTTAACTTTTCTAATTTATTTTGTCTTAAGAAAAAAACAGAATTAGCCTATGGTCAAATATATATATATATACAGGGTGATTAAAAAAAATTTAACACTTGTATGGGTTTATATTTTTATTTCCTACGTTTCATTTAGTCTGACCTTGCTCTCCATAAATATCTATGCATGTCTGAAAGCAGTCAAACGTTAAATCCAGAGCTGTAGAGCACATCCCAGGTGGTATTGACTGTATGACTTCTGTAATTCTTTCCCGGATATCCCATACAAGTAAACATTTTTTTGAATCACCCTCTTTATGTATGTATGTATGTATGTGTACATATAAGTATGTATGTATGTATGTGTGTATATGATAATGCTTCATAAACAAATTAATCTAACATTGAAATCATTAGTACTGTACATAAGTCTGAGGTTTAATCTGGAACATTTTCATTCACTAAACAAAACTGTAAAAATTCATATGTGTTTGGATTTTATTTGCTTTCAGATTTGGAGATGTATTAAATTTCAAAAGATATTTTCAGTGAGGTGTTTGTTAGATGATTAATAGACGTTATTGTTAAAATATTTAGTGGAATTTTAAATATATATATATTGTTGTACTTCATACCTGTCAACACATTTTGATGTCTACCTCTAATTATTACCATGAAAACCCATAATTTTCTTAATCTTATTTATGTTGTCTTAGTTCTCTTATGTTTATGTTTGTTCATGTTGTATATAGATTCCCAGTGTTGTAACTTGGACATCACAGACTGGACTTTTTTTTTTCCCCACAAACCTTTATACTTTCCAAGTATTTTCACCTTCTTGTAGAGATAAATATTTGTCATCTTGGGAGAAGGAAATTCTGACATTGATAAAATTGCTCTTGCATAATGATACAGTGATCTTTCACTGAAAGGACTGCAAATTATGATAATGATATAATGTTATTTTCAAACTTTTTCACTTGATTGTGTGATGTTTTAAGACATATAGGCAAGGCTTACAGAATGTCTATGATTTTGAGGCATGATGGGAAGCATCTTGAGATACTCCTTTATTTGATGTATACATATAGGGTCATTAACAATTATAGAACTTTGATAGTTTGACTTATGTGCCTTACTAGAAAGCATTAGTGGATTGAACTTTAAGTTCAGTTTCTAAAGCACTCACCTGGTGTACAAAAAGTTTTGGGTTTGAATTGAAGCTGAAGAAAAAATAAGTTACCAGAGGGGTAAAGACAAGAACCTTGGTTTTAATTCTTGTTGTGGATATATCATCAACTCTAAAAGGTTCAACAAAAGTAATTTTTTTATTCCAAAGATGTGCACTTCCAAACCATATAAAGTAATATGGAATGATCCATGTTGAAAATATTTTTTTTGTGCATGAAAATTTCTGTTTGCAAACATATACACATATTATTTAATTTTTCAAAATGTAAGCAAGATAGTGTTCTTGTTAAATAACTGAAAGGAGTAGTGTGTGTGATTTTATTTGATGTGAGAAGGTTAAGAAATACATAAACCTGAATTTTAACAATATACTAATGTTATATATTTCTCTAGTGTATTTATTTTTTATCAATTTTGAATGAAGAGGAAGATGATAGAAACAAAATATTTATAGGAGAACATTTTGTTTTGCAGCTCGCATATTCACCTTTTTATTTAGTGGATCATTTGGCTCCCTGTTAAAGTTACCACTGTTCTTGGTCAAAACGTGAGTTCATTATGTCATATCAGTTGTTTTCTTTTATGAACTTGCAAACAATAGGTAATGCTTCTTAAAACACTGAATATATTATTGAGAACTTTACAATTAATTTGCTTCTATCCATTGATCAGATAGATTAGTAACATTTACATACTCTTACATTTGAGAAAACTTGGTTACTTATTTAGAAATTTTCTCCACAGTATTCAAAAGCAGTCCATTGTATATCCAACACTTCTAACATATCGTAACTGTAATTTCAAGTTATGAGGTCACTGCCTAAATTTGTTTGAAATGCAGTGACATGACAAGTGATATTTAAAAAGAAACTGGAGTTTTCTTTCTTTCATATCTTTATGTGTGTGTGATGAACAAGGCACTGAATACATAGAGGGAAATGCCATGAGTACTCAAAGATGAAATAATGCTCTGTAATTACTGAGGATTATTTCTGTAGATGTAATGTTGATATTTTAGCTTTAAGTAATTTTGATCTAAAAAATACATCATATCTAACAACTTAGAGACCAGTTCTAAATGTACCTTGATTATTCTCTTTGAAAATGTAAATTTAGTTGTGGGTCCACCAGCCTCACTTTACTTCAAAATATTCTTTTAGTCCATGGACTGTGTAGTTCTCTTTGTTAATAGACATATTTATCCAAATTTCACACATGCTTTGAATTTAAGAAATGTATGGTTTATTTATTATTAAGCACACAAGCTTTGTTACATTTCATTTTATTTAGTAATCAACTAATTTTTCTGGAAAACGTAGCTTAATGATTATGGAATTATGACGCTTCCGAAACGTCTAATAAATAATTCCTGTTATTAAGTTCATGTTTTGTTTTATCATTTTATTTAGTATGATATTTGGTAGGTGTAAAACAAATAACCACCAGAGAACAACGTTGATTATATCACTAACATAACCAAGATAAGGAGGTTGAAGAAGCAATTACCCAAGGACTCCAAAGAAACATATCAATATTTGATATTAGATAAATATGAACAAAGAAACTTACTGGAGGAGAATAAAGATAGGAAAATAGTATTTGTAATTTCATTAAAGTGATTTCCAGTGATTTTCTCCACCATTATTTTATTTTTTTTTCTAATCATTTTGATACAAATCTCAGCAACCATCTTTTGGAGGGGTCAAGTGGGAGAGCATAGAGTAGTACACTATGATCATTTCTTGAAAACTGAGGCTGATGGATGTCAGTGTAAACATTTCTTATAAAGGGTATTATTTGAGTTAAATGTGCAAGCCTGTAAATGTGATATTTTATCATGTCTAGGAAAGCTCAAACACTTTGTATAAATGTATCTTACAAACTCTGTCCATATGTTTTCATTTCTGGAAATAGATTTGTATGTTTTCTCTGTTGTATTTTATATCATGAAAATCAGGAAGGTTAATGTTTAATATTATATATGTATGCACACACACATACGCATGCATAATGATACATATATATATACACACACACACACACACACACACATTAGGCATATAGGTAACTTTTTTCTTTCAGACAAACAAGCTGTTCAGTTTTTATTTGATTTAAAGTGATAGAGAAGCTTTTATATTTTGAGTTTTTTGTAAAATGTCTGATTAAAAGAATATGTTGTATATATACAATACGTATATCTATAGTAGTAATTATATTTATTTCATAGAGAAAACCTTTTGACTGACATCTTATTTGGTTGGTGTATTGTTTTGTGTGCTCTGTTGGTGTTCTTCGGTCTACTTTGGTTACATGATGAGATTGATCTTCATGGAGGGCCCTATTGGTTAAAACAGCAGCAGGGAAGGATGTTACAAGTAATGGTAAAATTCCATTTTTTTTTCATTAATAGTTCACAAAGATTAATTCTGACTGTATTTGGATTATTCTCTCTGTAAATGTGAGACTGGTTTAAGGACTTACAAATTTAGGACTTACAACTAGACTTGTAAGTCCTTAAACCAGGGCTGGGCATGGCCAGATGGTTAGGGCACTCAACTTGCAATCTACAGGTTGTGGGTTCGAATCCCTGTCCCACCAAACACGCTTGCCCATTCAGCTTTAGGGGTGTTATAATGTGATGGTCAATCCCACTATTTGTTGGTAAAAGAGTAGCCCAAGAGTTGGTGGTGGGTGGAGATGACTAGCTGTCTTCCCTCTAGTCTTTCACTGCTAAATTAAGGATGGCTAGCACAGATAGTCCTTGTTAGCTTTGTGTGAAATTCATAACAAACAAACAAACCTTAAACCAGTCTCACTTTACTTCAAAACATTTTCTTTAGTCCACTTTGTAGTTCTCTTTGTTTATAGGCATGTTTATCCAAATTTCACTTGTGCTTTAAATTTAAGAAATGTATGGTTTACTTTATTATTAAGCATATAAGCTTTAATTTCATTTGATTTAGTCTGATATCAATGGCTTCAAAACAATGCCTCTTGAAAATACTGACATCACAAATCATTGGCAAGTTGCTGAGTTATCGGCTGTGTTTGCAGGTTAATTACTTGCAAATTTGAATTATTATTGATAGCATAAATGGTTATTAACCGAGCTTCTTAGCTACTAATGTGTATTTTCAGTTCATCTTTATTTTCCTCATAGTTGTCTGGCTACTCATCAGCTGTTTTTCTATGTAATTATGTTAAACCTCATCATTTCTATTTTGATAAATAATTAGTACAGGTATTGTGTATGCATGTTTGTGTACCCATCATGCATATAACCACACTTTTACTTTACTTAAGCAGTAAAAAAAAAACGTTTGTTCTCATGTAACTTGAAAAAAAGCTTAATGTGAATTTGGGGGATATGTTACTGTTCAGTTCTTCTACCATCTTATAGCAGGCATTTCATGTTAATAAAAAAAAGGTCCTATAATAACTTATGATCATAATTGTCAGATGCAACATAATAAAATAATTTTAATTCCACCAATTTCAATGCTTTTTTTTTCATTTATTTTGTAAAGAAATGTTGTATAATCAGTAATTGTGTGTTAGTCATTGTGCTTTCTATCCTGGCAATTGTGGCTGGTAAATAAACATTGTCAAAATGTTAGAGTATCTATAAAATTGCTAAAAGTAAGTTTGATTTAGTGCTTGCTAAGTTTGCAAATAAATGTATAAGCATTTTCAAGAACCCATTTACAGCAGGTGTTCATTTGTCATGGTCCTCTGCAACAGCTTTGCTACAATGGGGTACGTGTAGTTTGTTCTGAAACATTTCCTTCTGAGCATACGTAGAGATGGCAGTTTGGATTTTCTAAGACCGATTTAAATATACACCATGAAATCAAAATCTAACTCAACAAAGCTGCAGTGGCTTTTTATGGTCAAGTACTGGCACTTAGTTCAGTACTTAGAGAGGACAGGGACATTTTGATTTTGTAAGGTCGATTTCAAAATACACCAAACAACTCATGACAGAAATTATCTTAACTCTCTTGCTACAGACTCAGTTGATTCAGCCAATCATGTGACCCCAAAGTAATCAGCAGAGTTTCGATACTATAACTTTTAACATGTTTTGTGTATCTTCACGAAATTTTTCAAGCTTTTAGTAAACATAACAAGTCTTTTGTAGACAAAAAAAATCAAAAATTTTTGATTAAGTCTTTTAACTACAATTTTGTCTCTGAATATATGGTATTGATGTCACTTACAGCAACAATGAATTACTAGAGAAGTTGTGGACAGTGATTCAGGCTCAGAATTTGAAGGTTTCATTGATAATGACTTGAATATCACATGTAATTACTAGTTTTATATTTCCAAACATTTCTAAGTGTGCATGTAAGTTGTCAAAATAATGGGCTTATTCTTTTTAATATTATATATATATAGTAGTAGTATTTAGTAAGTAGGTTGAATAATATTGATGCTGGGCTAAGGATTCTTCTACAGTAGTGTTTGTGGCTTGTTGACAATAAATTTAAAAGTCAATGAACAGCACTCACTCCAGTTGTTTTCAAAATAATATATATATATACATATATTCGGAACTAGTTAAACGTATGTACAACAAATGCCTCACACTATAGCGATCATAGGCATATCATAAACACTATACAGTTCTCTTCTTCTTGTTAAAAGTCCACTTAGGCTTATTCAGTTGCTTTAGAATTTCAGTTTACAAGCTGAACTATTTTTTTCTATTACTATCACCAAATTATCTGAGTATAGTTCACTTACTTTGTCGTTGAGTTGCCATGGTTCTGTTCTATACTTCTAAAATTGTCTGCTCCTTTTACTCTCTTTGTATTTCCGAGAATCGTCTGTCCATTTGTCAAAGTCCACTGAGGCTAGTTCTATTACTTTAGAACTCTCTTTGATGAAATAAACTATTCTTCTTATCTCTTTCAACACCGTTAGTCTCACTCTAATATATCAAATGTTAGGTCTTTCACTCCTACAATGATTAACTTTGCATTTAACTTTTCTTTGGCTGAATTCCTTCTCCTAACCTTGCTTCTTATCTACTCTGTCATTGTCTTTCTGTCTACTTTTCACACTCATCTCGCACTATTTATATGTTTATTGCTTAATCATCTGCTCACTATATCCTTGTCATAAGTAGATTTCATGTGACATTCTATAATCCCGACATCAATGAGTTATAAACACAACATACGACTATTACCAATTTATGTAAGTAAACTTGTGATAAAATTTACATTAAAATAGTTGCTTTTAACTCTTGTTATGAACAAAACTAAAAAATCATAAAATATTCACTCACAAAATATATTAATCAATAATATCTACACTAAACAGTCTTTTATATCATGACATAAGTAAATCTTAAGAATCAAGACTTAGCTTCTTGATCATTATATTTCAAAAATCATGTTTAAAGATTCTGAAAATATATTAAAATGGGAGATGGTTCTCAGATATGCAACAGAAACAGAGAGAATTAATAAGACATACCATCAAAATGCAACATTTCTAGCAAGTATGCATTATTGTTCCCAATGTGTGTTGGAAAATATGATCTGGACTGGCTGTAAAACAAAACATTTAGATTTGTTACTACATATTATATGCAACCTAACTTTTTGATAAATTTTTAGTAAAAAAAAATGCATATTATGTTTGGAAAATTATGGTACGTTAATTTGCCATGTTTAACCATTTTCTAACAAGAATGGAAGTTGTCAGACCTCATGTACATTATGCTTTCATGGACCTTTTGTTGGCATTTTATGCAGTTACAACCAATCAGCACACAGAAGTAACAAATGAGCCCTTTAAGACCTTGAATCATTTAACTTCTAATCAAAATGGTAATGCCCCCCAGTGGCACAGCAGTGTGTCTGCAGACTCACACCACTAGAAACCAGGTTTCGATACCCATGGTGGGCAGAGCACAGATAGCCCATTGTGTAGCTTTGTGCTTAATTTCAAACAAATAAACAAACAAAATGGTAATAATAATAATACAATTAATGTATTAAGTAATAGCATTAATAGTGTCAGCCTACTTCATCTTGAAAACCATAATTATATAATTACATAAGGCAATGTGATTTAATTTTTAAGTTTCCTAACCTTCTAAGAAAAATCATTTGGTGATAGTAATAGTTGCAGTAGAATTATACATGTTTTGGCTAAGATTTTACTTGTTTTTTATTGTTTGTCCTGCAAGCTGCAAAATGAAAAAAAAAAAGAAAAGGTGTAGTTTAAGCAGATAGAAAATCCATATAATCAAAAGAGTAATGTGTATGCATGCATGGGAAGCTTTTTAAACTTCATTAAACTATGAAACAATTAATCTAGGGAAGTACAAACAATGCCACCACATGTATGTGGGAAGCATTTTAAACTTCACTGAACTATGGAAAGTATGGATGATGTCACTGTATGCATAAGAGAGGGGGTGGGTATAAATAGTACTGCGTATTTCAAAGGAAAGGTATTTGGAGAATGGATCAGTTATCCCCCAGAGCCCCATTTCAGACAGTAGTTTTTATGTGTTAACGTTTTGTGTGTAAATTTCTTCATTTGTTGATAGACACCTAGCATACCAGCACCATCACCTTGTTGAATCATAATACTTGACCCTGATACTCAGGTTTTGAAAGTATTGCTAGATCTGGTGTCTCTTGCTGGATAAGTCGATCAGCTCTTTGTTTTTGATCAGACCATTTGTCTCAAAGTGTCTTTTGTACTAGAGGTATTTGGTGAGTATCACTTTGCAGTCATTACCCTACATGGCCATCAAATTTGTTCGGGACTCTACACATAAAATCATACTTGAGTGGTCCAGGCAAGACACTTAACTGTTTTGATTACTTTAAATACACAGCACTGCCTGTACATTTTATATACTTTGTTCCTTCAAATATGTAATACCACAATCAAAAATGTTTCATATGCAAAGCACGACTTATCCTCTCAGTTTTATATTATATTTGAGAACTTATTATGTGTTGAGTAATTGAGTAAAAATGAATGTTAAAGTAAGAATAAAGTAGCAAATTTTCCTTCAATTGGGAATTTTAAGAGAACATTTAATGACAAATGTTGATTTTTACTAGTAAGAATTTCTTAAATTCATATGTACTTGTAATATTTACACAGGATTTAGAAGATGTGATTGAAACTGAAGAAGTTGATGAAACTTTGTTTGAGCATTACAATGAAAATGGAGGTAGGTATTTTATCAGTTGAACTAAACAGAAAGTGAGAATTTCACATAAAATGGCTTTGCTTGAGAGATATTATGATTAAAGATTACACTATGAATGTACATTATATGTTTATATTAAGACATAGGACCTTATACAGAAGAAGAAAATATTTTATAAAAATTGCTGCTAAACAGTTCATTACTTACCCTACTGGAAATTCCAGAAGCTGCTGCTTGTGCTGGTAATCACCAAATTTCTGCTGGTTCCAGCTGGTCATGCCATTCCTACTGGTTCCAGCTGGCCTCTTTATTTCTGCTGGTACCAAATGTCATCTTCAAATCTGTTGTTTCCACCTAACTACTAAGGATGTGTTGTTTCTAATTAGCAATGTCATACTTGATTGGCCAACTATTTTCTCTTTCTTGTGATAACCTGTGTACAAATCAATACTAGTAATTTGCTAAATTGTACTTTATAACATGTTCTTGGATTGCATAATTCCATTATGAGTAAATTTACAAGCTTACATTTAGTAATATTAATATTTTATTCAATAAGTGATACTACTAGAGATAGAATAGCTTTGTTTATATTACCTGTTTCTTCACTAAAACCCCAACCTAGCTAGATATTGATTTACTTTCTCTGGAGATGTTTTTTTTTTTCTTCTGTAACACAGCTTGTAGTAGCCTATAGATAAAATAGAAGTAGCATACATTAAGAGTTTAAAAACTACAATGCTGAAATTACAACTGTAATTTCATGTTAAAAGAGAAAGTGTCATTTTCACTGATGACCGTAGTTAGTCAAATAATGAATTACAACTGTAATTTCATGTTAAAAGATTAAATGTCATTTTCACTGATGACCTTAGCTAGTCAAATAATGAATTACAACTGTAATTCATGTTAAAAGATTAAGTGTCATTTTCACTGATGACCTTAGCTAGTCAAATAATGCAGAAATAAAAACTTTAATTGTGCACTCTAAATTTAGGTTGTATCAAACTGACATTTGTAACGTACATGATATTGAAAAATACATATATCATATTGCTTTTCTTGTATGATCACTACTTTTAATAAATAACATTAAAACTAATTATAATTACCAAGTGTAATTTCTTAAATACTATAAAAGTTAACCTGATATAATATTTTCTTAGTATCTAAAATATATATCTTACTTTTCAAAGCTTCATATTTTTTGATAGTTAGTGATTATATAGCTGAAAAATTCGTAAAGTTGCAAACTCTTTTTTTTATACTTTGAACTTTCAGTTCCTTGTACCTAATGATGGCTATGGTCAGATCTTTTATAAATGTAGAATATTTTGGTGCTCTTTTATTCTGTTCAATTTCTCTTTATTTAACTACACATTATTGCTAATATGAACCTGCACATACATTTTTTGAATATAAGTATCAGTTTAAAAACAGAAACTCAACCATTTATCTCATGATGTAACATTCTATTTCTAATTCTTTGTAGCATTTGTGCAATATACCATTTATAATCATTATAGATAAAATATTCTGTTGGTTTCAATACTTTACCAACTTAGAACATACAATGTTCAAATGTGTATGTTAAAATGTATAGTACATCATTATAAAAGAAAGACAAATGAATTTGATTTAAAAATTTACAATTGATTTTTTGTGCAACTGATCTTTCCATCTTTTGCTGTTTCAACTGGTGGAGATTAAGATTCTTCTTGACTAACAAACAGTATGTTCACTCTGCTACAGAATGCCTGTGTGATATGCATTTTATTCTGGTTTACCACAGCAAACCTGTCTTGTTTAATTAAGCTATGATTATGAATGAAACATTTAATGATGTACTAATCTGACTCTGTGATACGTTTGCCCCTGAAGAAGAAAGATCCACCATTCGAAAGTGCTTGGGTTATAGGATTTTAATTCATTTCAATTGAAGTTGAGCTTAATAGTAATATGCATCATGAGTGTATATTTCAGAATTATTGTCATGTTTCTATGATAATATTAATGAATTATAATAATAATGACACAATCTTGTATCACTACTACTACTTATTCTAAAGTAAAGACAAAAACAAAAAGCACAAAGGCTGTTACCTATGAGAGCACAAGGGTAATATCAACCATTATAAGTAAGAAAATAAGTGGTATATATGGCATTTACATTAGAACTCCTTATTGATTAAGAATCCAAGAGGAAGATATAAAAGATATATAAACTCTATTGAGTGTAGCAGTATACTGTTACGACAGTGGGGTCACGTGACGAATATTCTAGAAGATTTTGCTAGTGCGTTGCGACAGCGGGAGTCAATTGACGC